TTGCTTGTTTGTTTTTTGTTTTTTGTTTTTGAGACAGGGTCTCACAATGTAGTTGAGACTGACCTGGAACTCACCATGTAGCCCTGCCTGTTCTCAAACTCACAGCAATCCTCCTGCCTCAGCCTCCCAAGTGATGGGATTACAGGTGTGCACCACTATGCCCGACAAGGATCTTTTTACTTTCTTGAGTTTCACTCACCAATTCTTACCTTTCCTCTATTCTAATGTATACATATGAATCTTTATATTTGATCTTAGCCTTGGTTCACCTACATCCCAAAGTTTTGTTAAAGATTTCACTATTATGAATTGTGCTGTTATAAACGATGTCATTAACTCTTTCAAGAAGGTACCTAGAAGAGGAATAGCTGGGTCAAATGGAAATTCTATTTTCAGCTTTTTGAGGATTCTCCGTACTGAGTTTCACTGTAGTTGTACTAGTTTATATTCCCACTAACAATGTAGAAGGATTCCTTTTACCCTGCAATTTATGTCCAAGTTCAGGCATATTTTCTGTTAAGGAAGGATGTTTGCCTCTGTTAAGCTATAGTCTTATGTGCCTCCCTCCAAATCAAAATATGTTGTGCGTCATATCACAGAATGCCTAACTAAGCTATTCAAAGACACCAACTTTGAAGGAGGAGACATTGATACTGTTTTTACACCAAGTGCCAAATATTGCCAGGTGGTCTGCACACATCACCCGAGATGTTTGCTCTTCACTTTTATGGCTGAATCATCATCTGAAGATCCTACGAAATGGTAAATGTTCTATGTTGCTACATAGAAGAACTACACTTAACAGGTCAATTACCCACAGATTAATTTCTGTCATTATATAAAATGTAACATTAACAACCGGAAAATAAATTGTCTTTCAGTTGAAATATTAAATATTACAGGAAAAGCAATGGTGTCTAAGCCAAACCAAGAATGTTGATGCCTCCCAGGGTAGCTTTCCTAGCTTCCTCTGGGGTTTTAGTATTAAGGTTACATTGTCTCTCTCCCTCTCTCTCTCTCTCTCAATATTTATGTGTCTTAATCATTTTGCCCTTTGCTTTTCTATTGAGTATTGATAAGTCACATTATTTCACTGAGAATTATCTCTCAAATATCTTGCTACCAAAAAAGTGTATAAAGATAATTTGAAAAAGTTGTACAATGACCCTCTGTCAACACCAAGAGTCTGTCACTTTTGCTTTACTGACCTACAGATGTAGGTCATTTGAAATAATTTTACAACATAGTGACGTTTCACCTGTAAACATTTCAGTATGCATTATTCCAAACAAAAAGTACAAAAAAGTTAACAAGACTTCTTTTATATCATATTCGTTTGTCCACCAAATGTAATTTATAGCTATCAACTAGAATCCTGTAAAAATCCAAAATTGTGTCTGGTTATTTTAACTCTAATCATGTTTCTAAAATTTTACATCTTCTACCTACTAGTTTTGTTTTCATGTCAAATTTGAAAATTCAATAATTTAGTCTTTCTGCAAAAATAAAGCTATCAACACTGCGTATTATTACTGCATCCAAAGATGTCTACATAGTACCACGAACAAGTACAAGTTATTGTTCTAGAATCTAAAACAGGGATCAACAAACATTTATTATCAAGACAGAGAGTAACTATTTCAGGGTTATTATGCAAGTACTTTTATCACCATTTAAAATGTAACTGTTTAAAAACATAAAAACCATCTGTAGACCATGGACTATTCCAAAACAGCTACTTTTAAGCTGCAGACCATAGTTCACCCATTGCTGTCTGTTTCTTATTAGGAAGTATTATCATGTGTCTTCTTCTAAATGTAGGAATGTTGAAATGATAAAGTCAGAACCTTGCTAAGAAAATATTTGTTCTAGCTAAATATTTGTTTTGGCATAAATTAGAGTAGTCTATTTCATTCTCTTTTGCTTTCTTGTGTGCTAATTTTAAGATTCATTATTTTAAAACATAAATTCCCACCCAGTAATTTTTTAAAAAAATAAACAGGTTTACTTGCATCCTGAAAGACAGTGTCACAGAAACTTTGCCTATGGTGAATATGACAGGAGCAATTTCTGGATATTCTTTCAAGCAATGCCCACACCAATTAAATGGTAAGATGTCTTTTGTGGATTAATAAATGCTAGTAATTATGATGTATGTGTATAATTGTATCAGATATACTTTTAGATTTTTTGGGGGGTGCGGGGGTTGAGGCAGGGTCTCACTATGTAGTTGAGACTGACTGGGAATTCACTATGTAGCCCAGGCTGGTTTTGAACTCACAGCGATCCTCCTGCCTCAGCCTCCCCAGTGCATCCTGTTTCTTCCCCATGCCCCTGCCCTCCCTTCACCCTTTCCTGTCCCCTATTTTCAAAGAATTAGGTCTTTTATTTTATTCTTTATTTATATTTTGGGTTTCTCACGTGAGATAAACCATGTGCTATTTAAGCTTGTATACCTAATTTATTTCACTGAACATTATGATCTCAAAGTACATCCATTATCCCACAAATGTTCAAATTTATCCTTTTTATAGCAGTATAGTATCTTGCTTTCTTTATTCATTCATCTGTTGAGAGACCATGTTCATCTCTGGTCTATGTTGTTTTCCACTCAGTTGATTTCTTCCATTTTCTGTTCTGATACATACATATAACGCCACCATGCCTGGCTTCAGATATACTTTTATAACTGTAAAACCAAGCACTGCTTTATGGAAATAAACTCCTTTATGTAAGTAAGTTTTTTGGGGGTAGAGTACAATGCATTAAAATGTCTTTCTTTATCTTAAAAAAGGAAGTATCTTACTACCTCAGTTGTCATTTATTTTCTTTCTCCTTTTTTTTTGGGGGGGGTACCAGGGATTGAACTTGGGTCCTTGTGCTTGCAAGGCAGGCCCCAGAACCGCTGAGCTAAATCCCCAGCTTCTTTCTCCTTCTGTATAAAATTTTACATGAAAGTCTATTAAACATATTAATACAAACCAAAGAGAACAAGTACAAAGATTGAAGTGGCACTCATCTCAGAAGTGAAGTAAATTCCTGGGTAGGTTAATAAGTGAACTAATCAGTCAGTGGAATGTTGGACCCGGGAGAGGATAGGACAGAAAATCAAAATGAAATTTATAGGCCTAAAATTGTTGCAGTGTAAGAAGGACATGAGCATTCTTTTAATGCTTCTATATGCAAATGGGAATTAAAAAGATTAATATTAAAATGAAAGATTTCTGAGAAAAACTGAGCAGAACAGTTAAAAGCTCAAGTCAGGAGGGGCAGTTGGCAAGGAGGAATACTGCAGCTGCCCAAGGAATCTCAAGGGCACTCATATTTTTCACTCTTATTTCCAGCTTGCAACAAAAATGTTTATGTGGGCCTAGACATGAAAGGCATGAACTATAATGGCTCTGTTGCTGGGAGTGCTCAGGAATGTCAACAAAGGTGCACAAATAACATCCACTGTCACTTTTTCACATATGCAACAAGGCATTTTCCCAGCATAGAGCATCGGTAAGTGCACTAGCAGCTGAGCCCAAGGATGTGAGAAAACTTGGTGGAAAAAAATGCTGATTCATTAAAATTATGCTTCACCTCGATGGTAAAATTTATTTTTAAAAATAAAAGACTTTTGTATAATAGTAATCATTGTTTTTGTCTTGAAAATTTCATTTACAAACCCTGCTTAGATGCATTTAAATTACAGAGAAGAGTCTGTCTTTTCATGACATTTGTAAAATATCTATATGCTTAAGCCATATCCCAGCTAATTTCAGAAGTGCTAATTTTTTAAATTGGCAATTTTGAAACAGCTAGAATTAGCTCACTTGCCAATGCCCTCGTAACCTAAAGATGCTATAGTCTAACCCTATAGAATGAAAAATTAAAACACATTCATCTCTCTTCTAAATAATGCTAATACTATGTCTAAGGCAAAGTAGCAAAGCCCGTGTGTTATCCTGTTTATGCTAAATGTTGAAATAGTATTATTGTGTGTTATAATATTACTTATTATTAAAGTGTATTATATAAGAATCTAAAAGTGCTCTGTCCACTAACAACTATGTCTGCATCTTCTTTTGCTTTAAAATTTTATTAGCAAAATAAAGTATTAATTTGTATTAATTTATTTGTTTGGTAGTGGAGATTGAAAGTATTAATTTTTGAATTTAAAAGTTTTTGTGGTTATCTACATTTGTATAATAAATTACATTTATTAGGAATAAAGTGTAAAAAGTGCAAGTTCAAATTACTAATAATCGGATTTTAACACTAAATTCTAACATTCTTCTCTCCCCCTTCACGAAAAGCAGGTAAGTGGAAAGCACATAATGTTTTCAAAAACAACGGTGAAACTTAACAAGGAAGGAGGACGTGAATATGACTTAGAAGGAAAAGGATCAGGGAAGAGAGGAGGGAGAAGTAAGGGAGAGCAATGGGGGAAAGAAATTATCACAATGTTGTGTTCGTGTGCAAAATGCCCAGTGAAATTCAATTGCAAAATTACTATGCATCAATAATTTATATGGACATATCCAAATTAATAAATATTTAAAAAACAAAGCAGTAACTAGTCCTCCATGTCTTGTCTGTAGGGCAGGTCAGAGAACCTATTTCATGTCTCAGACAACAGACCATACACTCCAAGCTGGGAAAACGTTGAGGCATTGAAGGAAAAATTAAATCATTAAAGTTGAAGAGATCATCGAAGAATCTCTGATTCATATGTTTCCACTCTCACTGTCATCACTACTCCAAAGTTCTCCTTTCATGGGCAGTGAGATAGTTCACAGAGTCCACAGGACCAAGTGCTTGGCAGTGGGGCAGAGACAGGAGTGAGTGAAAGAGCTCTCAAACGCATGCTTTTCACGGTGATTCCCATTTTGTCACACCCAAGTCCTCTCTCCAAATGGTAATTTCTTCTACTAGCAATTGGAAGAATGTAATATTTTTTCCATTTTTGTTTTTATTCAGGAACTTTTGTCTGTTGAAGCACAGCCAAACAGGAACACCAACCAGTATAAGAATGCTCAACAATGTGGTATCTGGATTTTCACTGAAATCCTGTGCACTTTCAGAGCTGGGTAACTTTTGCTTTCTTTTTAAAAAAATTTTTTATTTATTTACTTGCTTATTTTGGTTTTGTGAGACAGGATCTCACTATGTAGTTGAGACTCACCTGGAACTCACTATGTAGCCCAGGCTGGTCTCAAACCCACAGAGGTCCTCCTGCCTCAGCCTCCCAAGTACTAGGACAGCAGCCATGCACCACCACACTCGGCTAACTTTTGCTTTCTCCATGGGGTAGTTGAATCATTAAACAATGTATAAAGTTAATGATAAGTACCATAAGTGTAACTTTGGACCTGAATTTACACTCACTGATGAAATGCACCAAACAATCTTTTCCCCTTTCTTATAATAGAGCCCATTATGTCTTACAAAGAACTTATATTTCAATTTCAAGTTTATTTTATTTTCCTTATTGAGTTTATTGGTACATCTTAGATATACAGTACAGTTACATTCATTATTGGGATCTTGTACCTCTACATGACAGGTCTTGGTTCTCATTTTTTCCCCATGTCCCTGCCCTCCCTTCACCCCTCCTTCCCTCTCCCTTTACAAACACTTCATTTCCATTTTTTCATTTTCTCATATTTTTTTCTTTTCCCTTATTCCCTTTCCCCTCCCCTTCCCACTTTCCCTACACCTTTAGCCCCTTTCTTCCTACTTTACATTGTCAATTATATCATTAGGACCTTATGTACCATTATAGTTTTCACACTGGAGAAACTGTTCAGTATTTACGCATGTGTGACTTATTTATTTCACTTAGGAGTATATTCTCAATATGTATCCATTTTCCTATGAATGAATCTACTTTCTCATTCTTTATGGCTGCATAGTATTCCATTTTATAGCAAAACCACATCTTCTTTATCCAGTTTCCAACGGATGGGCAAATGGGCTGTTTCCAAGTTTTAGCTATTACCAACTGTGCCTCAAGTTTAAAATAGTAATTTTATTTCTTTCTAAATTAAAAACATTGGAAGATCGTGGGATAAGCTTAAAATTTTTAATAGAAAATTTACAAATGTCATGATCAAAACTTTCACCAATTTGCTGATGCATGGATGTTCTAACACGGTTTCTTTTCGTTTTCTTTTCTCCTTACTTCATTTGTCTTTTCTTTTAAAGTACATGCGTTGGCACCTTTCAGGCATACATAACGGTAGCACTTCCCGTGGGGATTTGCACCGTACATGGCACCTCCTGCCCCTTCTCTCCCATGCCCTTCTCTCCCATGTCCCTTCTCCCCATGTTCACAAGCTTTGTTTTCATTTTTCCTTCTATTTTCACTTTTTTCTCTTGCCCCTTTCTCCCTCCCTCCTCCCTTGTTCTCCTGACCATCTGAACATTTTCTTCCCACCTCCCAATACCTATTATACATTTTAGTCCTTATTTCTGCTTTTGGTTACTCACACCAGAGAGACAATGCAGTGTTTAAATGTGTGTGATCCATTTATTTCACTTAAGAGGATGGCCTCAAGGTCCGTCCATGGAGCTATGTCTGAAGCTCTTCATTCTTTATAGCAGAGTAGTATTACATTATATTAAAAAAAATCCACATCTTTATCCATTCATTAGGTGACAGCTTTGGGACATATCCAAGATTTAGCTCTTACGAACTGTGCTGCTATAAACATGGGTGAGCACATATCACTGTGGTATGGTGCTTTTAATTCTTTTGAGAAGGCACCAAGAAGAGGACTAGCTGGGTCAAAGGGAACCTCTAGTTATACTTTTCAGAGAAATTTCCACACTGATTTCCACAGTGGTTTTACCAGTCTACAGTCCCACCATCATTGGAGAAGAGTTTCTTTTTCCCCACAGCCTTTCCAGCATTTGTTATTGGTTGATTTCTTGAGAACAGCCATTCTTTCTGGAGTGAGATGGGATCTTAGTGTTTTAATTTGCATCTCATGAGTGACTGGTGATGCTTAACATTTTTTCATTTTTTTATGTACCATTTCTACTTCTTCATCTGAGAAATGTCTTTTCATTTCAGATGCCAATCTGTGGAGTGGGCCTTTAAATTTATGGGGGTCTGATAGTGAAAATAGCCATATTTCCAAAAATTGCTATACAGATTCATTACAATTCTTATTGAAATACAACAGTATATTTCACAGAACTAGAGAAAATAATCCCAAAACTCATTTGGAACCAGAAAAGACCTAGAATAGCAAAAGCAATTCTAGGCAACAGAGACATGGCAGGGGTTATCACTATCCCCAATTTGAAACTATACTACAAAGCTACTGTGATTAAAAACAGCATGGTACTTGCAAAAATAGACCCAGGGATAAGTGGAATAGAGTAGAAGATGCAGAAACAACTCCTGACATACTCAGCTACTTCATTGGACGAAGGAGCCAACCATCCTCATTGGAGGAAAGATAGCCTCTTCAATAAATTGTGCTGGAAGAACTGGATTTCAACCTGTCAAAGATTAAAACTGGACCCCTGTCTTTCACCATGAACTCAACTAAAATCAATGTGGATTAAATATCTAAATTTTAAAACAGAAACACTAAACTTGCTGGAAGATAAGTTAGGTAGAACTCCTGGAGGCACAGGCATAGGAAAAGACTTTATGAACAAATCCTCAGAAGAATGGGGACTAGCACAAAGAATCAAAAATGGGATCACTTCTTATTAAAAAGATTCTTCACTGCAAGAAAAACCACCAACAGAGCTAAGAAACAACCTACAATGTGGGGAAAAAAATCAGCTGTTCCTCAGACAAAGGTCTACTATTTAGAACATATTACGAATGCAAAAAACCAGACCTCACTTCTTCACTGCAAGAGAAACCACCAACAGAGCTAAGAAACAACCTACAATGTGGGGAAAAAAATCACCAGCTGTTCCTCAGACAAAGGTCTACTATTTAGAACATATTACGAATGCAAAAAACCAGACCTCCCAATTTTAAAGACCCAGGTCAAAAATGGGCATCTGAAATGAACAGACATTTCTCAGACAAAGAGATAAAAGAAGCAAATATACATATGAAAAAATGTTCAACATCATTGGTCATTCAAGAGATGCAGATGAAAACAGCACAGATCCCACTTCATCCAAGAAAGAATGGCTGCTATCAAGAAATTAATGAATAACAAATTCTGGTGGGCTTGTGGAGACAGAGGAATCCTTCTCCATTGTTGGTGGGAGTGCAGACTGGTGCAACCACTGTAGAATCCAATGTGGAGATATCTCAAAGAACTAGGATTAGAGATCCCATTTGACCCAGCAAGCCTTCTGCTGGGTATCTTTCCAAAAGAATTACAAGTATCATACCACAGGGATACGTATATAGCCATGTTTATAGTGGCACAGTTTGTAATAGGTAAAACTTGGAAACAGCCCAATTATCCATCAACTGGTTTTTCTATAAAGATGTGGTTTTTCTATAAAATGTAGTACTACTCAGCCATAAAGAATAAGAAATTAGAGACATTTATAGCTAAATGGATGAATATTGAGGCCATATTCTTAAGTGAAATAAATAGGACACACATATAAATAATGAATAGTTTCTCTGGTATGAAAAACTACAAGTGCAAATAAGGTTTAAATTGTATAATTGATAATATGGAATAGGAAGAAAAGGGCTACATGAGTAGAGGAAGTGGGATGGGTAGGGAAAAGAAAAGAAAAAAGGGGAAAAAGAAAAAAATATGAGAAAAGGAAAAATGCAAAGAAAGTCTTTATAAATAGGGAAGGATGGAGGGGGTGAAGGGAGGGCAGGGGTATGGGAAACAATAAGAACCGAGATACATCATGTAAAGTTACAAGACCCCATTGATGAATGTAGCTGCACTGTATACCTAAAGAGTACCAATAAACGAATGAAAAAATTATTGGGATGTTCTGACTTTTAAAAACTCTTCATATGTTCTAGATAGTAGTCTTTTGTCTAGATAGTAGTGTTTTATCTTTTATTCTGATGAATAGCTGGCATGAAAAAATCACTTTGTTGGTGGTTTCTCTTGCTGTATAAAAGCTTTTTAATAAGATGAGGTCTTAGTTGTTGATTCTTTGTAGTATTTCCCATGCATTATGGATTGTATTCATGAAGTGTTTGACTCTGCCTATGTCCTCAAGCTATACTTATTCTCTCTTTCAGCAGATTTAGTGTTTCTGTTTTAATATTTATATCTTTGACCCATTTCAATTTCATGGTGAAAGATATGCATGGTAAAGATATGGGTCTAGTTTCAATCTTCAGCATGGGGAAGGCGTGTTTTTCCAGAACCATTTATTAAAGAAGCTATCTTTCTTCCAGTGTTTGACTCCTTTGCCAAAGATTAGGTGGCTGTGTGTGTTTGCATTTGTTTGTGCATCTTCTAGTCTGTCCTCTTGATCCTCAGGTCTGTTCTTTTGCCGGTACCGTGCTATTTTTATCACAGTAGCCTTGTAGTATAATTTTAGGTTATGGATTGTGATACACCCTGCCTTGACTTTGTTGTCCAGAATTGTATTTCTATTCTAGGTCTCTTCTGGTTCCAAGTGAATTTTAGGATTGTTTCTTCTAATTCTGTGAGACATGCCATTGGAATTTTGATCGGGATTGCATTAAATCTTTACAACAATTTTGGAGTATGGCCATTTTCACTGTATTCATTCTTCCTATCCAAGAACAAGGGATGTGTTTCCATTTTCTGACATCCTATATGACCTCCTTTTTCAGAGTACTGTAGTTTTCAAGGTAGAGATCTTTTACTCCCTTCGTTAGATTGATTCCCAGGTATATCATATTTTTGGACACTATTGTGAAAGGGGTTCTTTCTCTAATTTTTCTCTCAGTGAGTTTATACTATTTGTGTACAGGAAGGCTATTGATTTTTTGAGTGTTGACTTTGTATTAAGCTAGGCCACTGAATTTTTTTTTATCAAATCTACAAGTCTTTTGGTGGAACTTTTAGTGTCTTCTATGTAGGGTTTCATATCATCTGCAAATAATGATGACTCAACTTCCTCCTTTTCTATCTTTATTTCTTTCATTTCTTTCTCTTGTCTAATTGATCTGTCTAGTGTCTCCAGAACTATATTGAACAAGAGCGGTGGCAGTGGACATCCTTGTCTTGTTCTTGATTTTAGAGTGAAAGCTATCAGCTTTTGTCCATTTATTATATTGGTTGTTGGTTTGAAGCAGATGGTTTTTTATCAGATTGAGATAAAGACCATCTATACCAGTTTTCTGTAGGGTTTTATCATGAATGGATGTTGGACCTTGTCAAATGATTTTTCTGCATCTATTGAGATGATCATACAAATTTTGTCCTTGGCTCTGTTAATACGGTATATTACATTTGTTGATTTGCCTATATTTGAACCATCTCTACATCCCTTGGATGAGTCCAACTTGGTCATGAATTATGATCTTCTTGATAAATTGCTGCATTTTGTTTGCCAGTATCTTATTGAGAATTTTTGCATCTATGTTCATTAGGGATACTGGCTGTCATACTCTCTCCCTTTTTTTTTTCCTTTTGTACCAGGGATCAAACGTGGGTCCTTGCACTTGTGAAGCAGGCACTGGAACCACTGAGCTAAATCCCTGGACCTGTAATTCTCTTTTTTGGTTATATCCTTCTTTGCTTTTGGTATCAGAGTAATGCTTGCTTCTAAGGAATTAATTTGGGAGTATTGCTTCCCTTTCAGTTTCACTAAGGACCTTGACAAGTAGCTTCATTAGGTCTTCTCTATATTTCTTTTGATTTCAGCAATGAATTCACCAGGACCTGGGCATTTCTTTGTTGGTAGATTTTTGTTGTTGTTGTATGAGGGATCAAACTCAAGAGGTTGCACTTGTGAGGCAGGCTTGGTGCCACTGAGCTAAATCCTTGCCCTGTTGGTAGATTTTTAATTCCATCTTAAATTTCATTGACTGATATTGCTTTATTTGGAAACTTAATATTTTCTTAATTCAGCTTTAGGCATTCATATGTATCTAGAAATCCATTCATTTCTTCTGTGTTTTCTATCTTATTAGATAGAATATAGGTTCTCAGAGTAGGTATTAATGATTGTCTGGATTTCCGTAGGATCTGTTATAATTTTATGTTTTCATTCCTAATTGCATGGATTTGAATCTTTTCTTTCCTTTTTTGATAAAGTTGGTTAAGAGATTGTCAATTGTATTTAATCTTTCAATGAATCAACTCATCAATTTATTGATTGTTTGTATTGTTTTTGCCTAATCTCCATTGCATTAATTTCTGCTGATTTTTATAATTTCCTCCCTCATTCAAGCTTTTAGCTTGTCTTGCTCTTCTTTTTCTAGAAGCTTGAGGTTCAACGTTAGGTTATTTGTGCCCACTCTGTTATCCTGATATGGGTATTCATTGTTATAAATTTCCCTTGTAGGACTGTTTTCATTGCATCCCATAAGTTCCAGAATCTAACATGGTTTCTTCTGTAATCCAGCTTGTATTAGGGACATGTTCCCTAATACAGTGTTTGCAGACAGTAACATCCAGAGTGTTTTGGCTCCAGATGCTTTTGTCTGTCGCCGCATTTGTACTCATCATCCCAGTTGTTTGTTTTTTACCTTCTTTTCTCAAGAATGGTCAAAAGAATCTCAAAGGTAAGGAGTTACAATTAAGGCTGATGTGTTGTCTTTTGAAAACAGCTGATCAAAATCTGTCAGTGAACATCCTGAGCAGATTAAATTTGTATTTAAATGTCTATATAGCATAAAAATTTCAAAGAAGTATTGTTGGATTCTCTTATTTTCTTCCTTCCATCTGCTGACCACAAATCTGATAACATCAATTGGTCTTGGAGTTTTTGTTTGTTGTTGCTTTAAGCTTAGAGATCTCCACCTTTGCTAAAGGTAGAGTTATCTAGTTTTGAGTGGGGTGAAGAGAATATCCTGGGCATTAAGAGGACGTTCTCTCACTGCAACAAAACAGCTGTACATATCAGTAAAATGGTAAATCCAAAGTGGAAAAGAGGTGAAAATGACAACCTACATCAAGAAGTTTAGGGTGGTGGTAGAAGGGAGATTTGAGGATGAAGGTCTTATTTCTCTTCTGATGGGAATTAACAAAGGACATCATAAAAAGCATGGTATATTTCTTTGGTTATTAAAGGGATACATACTGAGATTATTACCCTTTATGAACAAGAATCACTGAAAATTTTAAAGTTAGGTCAGACAGAAGTTCTATATATTATCTGAGTTGGAACTCTCAGAGGTGTTGGCTTTTTTGGCTTTGGCTGCTCACTGTTGAGAAGATCAACCCTTGCAACATCCGGTCAAGGTGAGCCCTTGAGTTCATTGTCCATCCGATAAGCTTCATTTTCTACTGAGGCTGTAATTTCAGCAGCACCAGATCTGTTACATGAAAATGTATCAGTTACTTTCTCTTACTAAACAAGTTTAATACAACTTATTTGATGTCTGTTACACATAAGAAGTTATTCTAGGGATATTATTAGTGAATTCGACTGGTGAAAGCCTGCCTCCTTAGATCAGCGTGGAGAAGATAGAGAAGTGTTCAGATTGAGATGTGTTGTCACATGGAGCCAATAAGACTCGCTGATGGGTTGGATGTGGGCTGTGAAGGAAAGAAAGGGTTGGGGATATTACCTGGATTTTTGGCCCAAGTAATTGGAAGGATGGAAATTCCAATGTCTAAGATGTGGAAGACTTCATGAAAAGCAAAGGTTAAGAAAAAGAGATTTCTTTAGACGTGTAGGGGAAAATGTTGAACTGGCCACTGGAAATAGAAGTCAGTTTCGTAAGGGAAGCACACTCTAGATCTGCGTTTGAGTCTCCCCAGTATATAACTGGTAATTAAACCCACAAGACTGGTGCGATCATCAAATGACTGAATGCAGACAGAGCAGAAACGAAGGACAAGATGGAAAAGCCAGGCAATTCCGAAGTGAGAAAATTCAAACATTAGAAAAATGCCTTTGTCATTTGTCATTTTGTGATTGGTACTTCGTTTTATTTTCTTTCATATAATTACTGATTAGTACTTCTAGGAGGAGTAATAAATTTGACCCTTAGTACACACCTGCCACAAGGCAAGGCTCGGCTAAATTTAATTTTAATTATGTAAAATTAAAAATTCACTCCCCCAACTGTCTTAGTCACATTTTAAGTGGGCAATTGTTATATGTGGCTAGTTGTTGCTCTATTGCATGGCATAGATAGAAAATATTTCTACCATTCCAGAAAATTCTGTTGGACAGCTCTGTTCAAGACTGATTTTTAGCTAAACAGGAAAAGTCTCTCCCTTTCAGGAAGATGCTGCCAGGCAGGTTATGGAGTCAGTGATGGGTTTCACTTATACGTTTTTAAATCTGGATACGAGATTTTTAGGTAGCATGAAAATTCTTTTTTAAAAATGTATTTCATTAATATCTATCAATTGTATAAAATAATGAGCTTCAATGTGATATCTTCATGCACGCATACAGCCCGTGTTTATCGTGTCTATCCCCCCATTCTGTCCCTAGCACTCACTCGCCCTTCTATCACTCTTCTCCCTTTATCCTGTAATGATATCCCCTCTAGTAAGGGGAACGTGTGATATTTGATCTCCAGTTACATCCATTTTCCTGCAAACGGCATACTTTCATGCTTCTTTATAATTGAATAATATTGCAGTGTGCCTGTGTATCATATTTTCTTTATTCATTCTTAATAAATTGGTGGATACCTGGGCTAGTACCACACCTTGGCTGTTGTGAACTGTGTCACAATCCAGATGGGTATGCAGGTAGATAATATGAAAATTCTTGACTCTTTGAGACTGGCTGGGAATGTTGAAGGAAGTAAAAAGGGAAGATAGAAGAGATACTGACAAAAGATCAAGTTGTGAAAATAAGAGTCCGATGGTTTAGTTTTGAAACTGTGTCTACAGACTATTTTTGTCTACAAAAAATGTGTCTCAATGATTCACGACGAATACTATAAAACTAGGAACATTTTCACTACTAGATGCCAACATGAGCAGACTTTACTTTCCATACATGGTGTAAAAATGTTCTTTTTTATATGTTTTATATAATATAGATATATCCTCTTTCCTTTCTTTACTGTCAGAAACCTTTGCCTCCTTAAAACATCTGAAAGTGGAATACCAACTACACGGATAGAAAAGAACAAAGCTATCTCTGGTTTTAGTCTACAAAACTGCAGGCACAGTATCCCAGGTACAGTGAATATGTTTTCTTTTGGTTGAGACCAATAATTCTTGAGGAGATTGGTACCTAAGATTGTCTCACAGCCGATATGTGATATGTTTTCTAGTATTCTGTCACTCTTCTTTTTACCGTGACACTGATTTCTTGGGAGAGGAACTGGACATTGTTCATGTGAGCGGTCATGAAGCCTGCCAGAAGATGTGCACCAATGCCATCCGCTGCCAGTTTTTTACCTATGCACCACCTCAAGAATCTTGCAATGAAAGGAAGTAAGACAAAGAAAGGATTAAGTAGATGGGTGCCTCATCCATTTTTGAGATGACTTATATTTACGCTCCTTTGTTTCTAAAAATAGGGGAAACTGTTACTTAAAACTTTCTTCAAATGGATCTCCAACTAAAATACTTCACGGGAGAGGAGGCATCTCTGGATATACATTAAGGCTATGCAAAATGGATAATAGTAAGTGTGATGTCACTTGGAAAAAGACATAGAAGGATTTGTTCTACACTAAATGTATCACAACTAAGATAATAATAGGCAGAGGGGCTAAAGCTACTAAAATAACAAATTTAGCAATATTTTCGTTATTTTTACTTCTCTCATACAAGTCAGCCATGCTTTAAAGCTATAAACCATGCCACAGCTAAACTCTACCCTGCCTAATATGAACTGAATATGTGCGACTGGGGATGTAGCTCAGTGGCACCAGGCCTGCCTAGGAAGTGCAAGATCCTGAGTTCAATGCCCAGTACTGCAAAAAAAAAAAAAATTGAATATGTGTTTTAATTTATACAACTGGGATTTCCTGATGCCACACAGATTCTGCCAACATTCATATGTCTGATTCTTATTATCAGTGTTAAGGATGATTTTTATTTTCTGTTAGGTGGAAAAGTCAACCTGATTAATCAAATTATTTATTTTCCTCTCATTTGACCTTAAAGTAAAATATAAATAATCTTGATATGTTCTAACAATTATGTGTTTACTTAAGAAATACTGGAGTAGCTCTTTTTTTCCAGGGTTGTCATTCTTTCAGATTCCTTGCAAAGGTTCTGTGGCCTACTAAGAAACCTTAGTAATTTATAATATGAGTCTGGCAGGGTAGAAATAAATATATTTTCCAAATTATACAAAACCGATAAAAATAAAATTATTTTAAAATTGTCTCAACTGTGTTTCCATCCCAGTGGCTCATTTCTCAGTATAAGAGGTGGAGTGTGCCCAGATAGGATTGTTCTGAAAGACAGAATTATGACAAGAGAAGAAACAAACACTTCTCCCTAAATGATCATAATGACCTATTGTGGCTCTATCATTTTAGATTTACATACTTTAGACTGTTTTTTTTTTAGTGTCCAAAATTATAATATACTATACATTTAGATTAAACTGAGGTTTAATGAATAAAATGGAAATGATAATCATGCTTGGTAATAGTTCTAGGACTATAAAAATCTTTTTTGTTGGGTTATTTGCTGAACTGAATGATAAATTAATACTTAACTTCTAGGAAATTGCTTTGTATAACATGCAGATGTTAGAGTAACTCCAATACTAATATTCTAAGTAATAAAATATTATTTCCGAGGATTGAGAGGTGCTTTGATGAGAATCTTTGGATGAGTTAAGGCTGTTTAGAAATTATGTTGTAATTTCATAAATTGCAGATGCCATTTCCAACCTCATTCCTTTATGATGTACTTTTCTGTTGAGTTTTTAGATCATGGCCTCTGGAGGTCACAGAATATACTCATTGTAAATTGATAGCTGTAGGAGAAACTATAATAAAAAGAAAACAAAGTTCTATGTCTTTTTAGTGCAACTTATGAGTTCAGTGAATTAAACAAATAGCCTTTACTGCACTTTATTAGATAAAATAATATTCTAATAAGAGAGTGCATAACTAACAAGTTGTGGTCATGTCCTATACCGTTGTTGGTTTACCATATAATTTAGCTTTCTGAAAATTACATAAAAAGTAGCATTTATTTACATCAAATGTAATCCTTAAAACTGCATTTTCAGCATTTTGTTTACACTGAGAAAGTAGAATGAATATCAGTACTAATAACCTGTACCTCGTAAGGTCTTGCTAAGTTATTTAGAACATGTCCTAATTGCTGCTTACCAACTACTTATGCTAAACTTCACTTTTATGTCATTTCCCAGTTTGCAATCTATAAGGGCCTCCAAGAAATTGCAAAATAAGGGCCAAGATCTAGCTCAGTGGCACCATGCCTACCTTGCAAGCACAGGGTCCTGAGTTTGATCCCTGGTACCCACCCCCCCCAAAAAAAAGAAGAAGAAAGAAAGATAAGATCTTTAAAATGATCTTTTAAAACTAGTGTCTGCCCGATCTGTTCTTAAGGGAGAAATCTGTTACTGCTCCTACAGTCACTTCATGGTCATTCTTATCTCCTCTTGCTGTTAGCTGTTGTTTCTTTCAAAGCTTCTTTTCCCATCCTCTCCTATTTTAAATCCACTCCAGAATTACATATACATTTTCCTATAGAGGAAAGAAAGGCCTAGAAAGGTCTGGGTAGAGCACATTGCATCACATAGGAGCTTATTAGAAAGAATGTCAGCATCCTCCACACACGTACTGAGTCTGGATTTTAAGAGTACGCAGGTGATCCATATGAAGTTTGAGGTGTGCTGCTCTAGAATACTGCTGTGTCTGCACGTACGCTGTCCAGGTTCTGTGCTACACTTGGCTAAGGCTCAAAAGAGAAAGATGTGTTCTCCTATTTGGCATCCCCCAAAATAGAAATAGGACGGACTATCCTGTCCAGGACAGCCAAGGCAGGAAAGATGCCGAGGAATGATTCTGAATCAAAGTCCTTGGAAGGTATCAATATTCAACCCAAGAAAGCCCCAAACTGTCAACAAGGCCAAAGAGCAGACATTCACAAACAGAAAAATCAGTCCTGGTTTGGGCATGGATGATGCAAGTGTAACCGGCAGCCAGGGTCAACCAGAATGAGACGGGGGTGGTGGGGTCTGGAAAAGAATGGCAGACTCAATGGGACGTTTGTTCTCAAGCCTTCAGCGGGCAGGGCAGGTTAAAAGACAGATTGCTAGGCCCCACCGTCAGACCTTCTGTTTCACCGGGTCTGAGGTAGGGCTCAAGGATTCACAAGTCTAACAAGTTCCAGGGTGATGTTGCTCAGTGGGGACCACACTTGGCAGCCATTGCTTTCAAATGCCAATCTCTGTTACCGCCGAAGAAGCGCGACTGGCCCTGTGGTGCTAGGTGGCTTGTAATTGCAAGAGGACTTGACCATTCAACTTTTATGTGCATGTTTTCTTCGTCAACTGCATCAGAAGGTCTAACTCGGGGTCATGGTAAATTCTTGAATTAAAAGACACGTTTCTTTCTTTGGTTCCTCAGGGAACATAACTTCTGGTGGAAAATGAAGATGTAGAAACCCACTTATTGCAATCTCTCTTTTGTAGTATGCACAACCAAAATCAAGCCCAGGATTGTAGGAGGAACTGTGTCTGTTCGTGGCGAGTGGCCATGGCAGGTAACCCTGCACATCACAGCACCCTCCCGGGGACACTTGTGTGGCGGATCCATCATTGGCAACCAGTGGATCGTAACAGCTGCTCACTGTTTTGATGGGTCAGTTCTGTAGCTGTGTTTATTAGTCCACCATCCTCATACATACATGAAATCTACTACTAGTGGATTAGGACACAAATCCTTTTAAAATGTCAATTCCTCTATTTACTAAATTAATTTCTTATCTTTGGTGGGAGTCAAAATGCAAAAAGGAAGAGGCACTTATGGTCTAGAGCACAGTATTCAGCAACAGAATAGGTGTGAACCAGGCTATTTGACTGCACACTAGTCCCCTGCCTTGTTTAAATGCAAGCACAGCCTGAGGGCTTTCTGTTATTTCCTAAAGGAACATTTCATTCTCTGTTTATTGAGTCCAGAACTAAACTCATGAAGGATTTCCCACCCTGTAGTAAGTCCAGTTTCCCATGTTCACTCTGCCCATTTCCTTCTCTCTCTCTCTCTCTCTCCCCCCGCTTTTCACTCCACCCCCTTAAATACAGAAAGATGTCATTATGCACCCTCAATATTATTCCCTTCTCAGATCCCTTTCACTCTTGGCTGAACATAAAAGGTTCAGCTGGAAAATGTGTGAATGCATATATCCCTGGAAATTTTGGCTGACCAAATTTCCTCTTTGCTACTTTAGTACCCTCTGAGTTGTCTCCAGTCACGGTAGTGTGCATTGCCATTTTTTATCTGTTTGTGGAAAACTGCTGTTATAACTCAACAATATATTTGAGGCCAGTAGTCCCCTTTGCCTTTTACATATAGGGAAGTGGAGTACAGTAACACCATGTGAATTTCTCAGGGTCACAGCTAGTAAATGGCAGGACTGAGATAAAAATCCAGGACATTTCATGGATATGTGTATATAAGTATTGGACAATGGGAAGAGAATTTATTTTGTAAGTGTCATGTAAGATAAATGTTAATTTAGTGCCCTCTTTAGAATGGAAATAACTGAAAACTTTAGGATGAATGCATTCTTTCCACCTAAAAGTAACTATTGACATGAAATTTAGTAACAGCTAGTTTAATAGCTATGCCCTCAAGATGTTTGGGAAATTCATAACGAAGGAAATGAACTTCCCTCTGCTGTTTGTTCCTTAGGGTAGAATCACCTAAAATTCTGCGCATCTATGGTGGCATTGTAAATCAATCTGAAATAAATGAGGATACGCCTTTCTTTGGGGTACAAGAAATAATAATTCATGATCAGTATAGAATGGTAGAAAGTGGGTATGATATTGCCTTGCTCAAGCTGGAAACAAGCATGAATTACACAGGTATGCAGAATTCTCAGGGGAAAGTTATCTACAAAGCTGAGCTAGATGAAGTATTTACTAGTGAGGCGTTCTTGATGTGTTCCTGCCAACCTTTCCACGTTTCCATTAAAGGGAGAGGGTCTGCAAATCTTGGCTTTCACTCTGTTAAGACTGACATTGCTGTTCGATTGTGGGATATTGTGTTGAAAGTATGGATGCATATTTTAGGTTTCTTCAGGTGCACAGGACAGCATAATTTTATCCCATTTTAGAATATCAGGAATAATTGAGTTACTAGCTCCCTTTTAGGGACAAAATGATGGAAGGTCAGCAAGATTAAGCAACTTCCATGGGATCACAAACCTAGCTGGAGTGAAGGAGTCAGTGGGAAAGAGTAGTTGTCTGTTCTCGCCTCGTTTCGGGATCCATAATATGTAATACTGAACACAAGAGATGAAAACATGTGACAAGAAGGCACCGTATGAAAGTAACAAATCACAAAGTCATGTAGAGTAAAAAGTGAAAGAAGAGAGTCTCTTCGGAGAAGGAAGATATGTTTTGCTTCTGACAATTAAACTATGATTTTTTAAAATGTAGATTCTCAACGACCCATATGCCTACCTTCCAAAGGAGACAGAAATGTAAGATACAGTGACTGCTGGGTGACTGGATGGGGATACACAAAATCAAGAGGTAAGAAGTGCTGTTCAAATATATGCTGCATCCTGAAAATAAAGTGCACATTTTAGCTATCACATTTTCTGCTCTCTCAAGTCATACAGCTGAAACACAAATAAAATACCATCAGTCAGTTGGGAGAAGGGTACTAATAAAAATAAAAAGACAAAAATCACCCAAGTGAGGATGATGTTATATCAGTTTGATAAGAAGTTCTGTGTATGATTAAGCCTCTTGAAAAATTATTTTAAGTGAGATTTGAAGTGAGACTTAGCACTTCTCAGTAAATGTCCTAGCTTATTATCTAATCATTTTCTCTGGGAAGTAATTTACTAAGAGTCATAATTAATGTTTAAGCTTGATTAACATTAAAAAGTGGAATGCACAACAGTGGGAATAGTGTCTTTTTATACTCTATAATTATAAAAGGCCTATGAAGTGGACCTAACATTTTTTTTTCTTTCTAGATTTTTACTAAGTATGAATTTTTAATTTAAAGCTATATAGATTTATATTTTATATATGATTATTCCACTAACAAACCACAATTTTTTAAAGACAATATACAAAACACTCTCCAGAAAGCCAAGATACCCTTGGTGTCAAATGAAGAATGCCAAGCAAGATACAGAAGGCATAAAATAACCAGCAAGATGATCTGTGCAGGCTACAGTGAAGGGGGGAAGGATGCTTGCAAGGTAACAGAGTGCTCTCAACCAATTGAATACATTCAAATTAGAATGTTTACTACATATGAAACAGGAATCTTCCGCCAATATGCAGGAAACAAAGTGTGTTTGTCTTATTTACTGAAATCTATTGTGTATACACGGGGTGAAAGTGAACAGTGAGGTTCTTTGAAGTTTATGAAAAGACCAGGGGAGAATTTTAGGCAAAACTCTGAACAAATGTATTTACTATGGGAAGCATCAAGAGTGATCTGTACTACTTTTTCCACCTCCCCTTTTCACAGGGAGATTCTGGGGGTCCCCTGTCCTGCAAACACAACGAAGTCTGGCATCTGGTGGGCATCACGAGCTGGGGTGAAGGCTGTGGTCAGAGAGGACGGCCAGGCGTTTACACCAATGTGGTCAAATATGTGGACTGGATTTTGGAGAAAACCCAATCAGTGTGAAAGGGGTTCCAGGTCCATTGACCCCCCAAGGGGCGAACCAGACTGTTCCATGGAACAGGACTCTGATTTCACTGAAGAAAACATGGTGATGTCACCTGTCCCCCATAGTTACGCATGGAATGGGCTTGATATTTCTAAGGAAATACTGAAGAATTGTGTTCTGAAAACCCCTATTCGATAAGCATGGTTTGTTTTCAGCATCCAGTCTTGCTTTTTTATTACACTTTTACTTAGCCAAGGAAATCCTATAAGGAGATATTTTCACAAATTATTACCATGGCATCTATTCCAAAAAGCTATCAAGTAATGGCACCAAGGGACCAGGCAGAACTACTAAAAGGAACCCACTACCAAATTTTACCAAATATTTGTTAAATGAAAAGAAGGACATGGTAAGATAGGGAAACAAAGAGAGTCATCATCCATTTGCAAGACTCTCTACTCTGCCTGTGAGAACACATATCTTGTGTAAAGAGATAATTTGACTGAATTCATTGACAAGCTTTCAGAAGGGTGAGCAATTCTAGTCTTTCAGTTTTTAATATAAATTTTGTATCAGTGTGGATACGCATAAGCTAAAACTGAACAAAGATTCCAGAATTTGTATATGGGAGACTAGGATCAGCAATTTACCTAGAAGTGGTACTATAGTACCTTAGGAGACAAATTGTAGGGATGCACTTGCCTAGAAAAATATTTGCGTGTAGATTGTATACTTATTTGCAATGCTTTAGAAAGGAGAAGGTTAACGGAGACAGGCAGAAAAGACGTCCTTACTAAGGAAAGCCGCTGCCCCATGTGTAGCTTTACAAAGAGCTCGATAATAGATGTGCTGAGAAAAATCAATATAAAATACATCCATGCCACAAGGAAAAAAATCACTTTGGGAACAAAAACAGCTATTTGTATTCTAAACACAGAAGTTTTCCCTTTACTAGAAATATTTACCCAGTTTTTGTTCCATCATAGTACAATAGCCTAGAATCTGAATTCTCTTCGCATAATCTTTAACCTGTGTCAATAACTATACAATTCACCCAATATGAGAAATATTTATTGAGCAAAATTAGGTAATAGTTTCGCACTGAGCCTTGCAGATACTGAGGTGAGTAGATAAAGTGTAGTTTTTTGAAGTTTATAGTCCAGTTAATGTGAACAACAACGAAAACAATTGTGCAAAAAAATATAATTTCAAACTTGAATAAGTAGGCTCACAGAGTTATCTGACAGGGAAGAAGGGTACGTTGAGCAAGTAGACAGAGAAGGGCACGGTTCTGTAGAAGAAAAAACAAAATCAAAATCCCCACTCCAAAATCCCAAAGATCAAAATGATTGAAAGACCATAAATGAGCCATATCCAAAACATATATAGATTCAAACAAAACTGGAGTCAAAAATTGTAGCTCCTTAAAATTCACAAACCACATTATCTCAATATGAGGTAAGACTTCACATAGGAAAAGATTAGGGCATCATTTCTGAAGTGATCTTTCTGTAAAGTCTTTCCTGAAAAGTATCTGGTAAAAGTGCACTTTTTGCTTCTTAGGATTTAACTTTATATGATGTCTTAATATCTGAATATCTAATCTATGCCCATGATTCAGAAATTAAAACACTGTGAGAAGTTATGAAATATACAATATGAAGATGCTCTCCCTAACACCAAAAGACTGCTCAGCCTATCTGTGACCTAGTGCTTTTCTTAACTTTCAATCTTTAACATACTTCGGATTAGTACAGAGCGAGCCTCCTTATCCTGCTACGGAAGCAGGGTATTCTGTCGAGGGATCCCACATTTTGTTTCGTCAGTCCCTCACTGAAGGACACTGAGGTTGATTCAGGGTTCTTCTCTTCTGCGTATGTGCAGGCCAATTCGTAGGACACATTTCAGAAGCAGAATTGCTGAAAATGACAACAATAGCAAAAACAACAATGACGTAAAAGGGGACAGAGGAATATATTTGCAATTTTGATAAACATTGCCAAATTTCCACTCTAAAAATTTGTAGAAATTTTCCCTCCCAAAATTCAATAAATAGAAAAAGGCATTTCAATTTTTATTTGGAGATTTTCTTAAAATAAATGGCATCATGTGAATTTGGGGATACATGATCACCAAACTAATAATTACTTTATTTTTACCCAATATTAATTTGGCAGTTACTTTGTAGACAAAAAGTGGAATATGTTCTTTGCAGTCACATCAATCAACATGGTAAGATTTTTTGCTGAAAAAAAAAACATTCTAGAATGTATATTGTTCAACATTGATAGTGGCTCAATGCAGTGGAAATACTAGTAATTCACAGCTCTCCCTGCAGTCACTTAGGTGCACTTGGGGTGCAAGTGACCTCATCACTTGTTCCAGAGGCAGATGCTAATTTGTGCACATTCGCTGACACAATCCCATTTCCCTTGCCCCAAAAAGCCAGTCGTGTGGTCAGGCCAAAGTGTCTGACCTTCCTCTGGCCACAGCGACTGGCTTAAAGATTTCAGTCCGTGCAGAGCTTGAGACTTTGGACTGATTTGGATTCTCTTCCCCTCCATGTGAATGAGGAAGGAGCTACCTTTATGTAGTGGGACAGTCTTAAGAAGGCAGCCTAAAGACCACAGCAATGAAAAGGTAGAGGGCTGAGGCCTGAAAAAATCTTGCCCTTTCCTGTTTCATAGCAATGAATTCTCTCCTTGCGTTTAATCTGAAAAAATCTTGCCCTTTCCTGTTTCATAGCAATGAATTCTCTCCTTGCGTTTAAGCCAATTTGAAATTAGATTTTATTACTTGCATTGAAAATAACTCAGTGTGCCGGGATGTAGTGACCAAAAGTATCATTATTAATCTGATTCAATTTTTTAAACAATTAATTAGCATTTTTGCAGTACTGGGGATCAAATCTTGAGCGTGTTAAGCACATGCTCTGCCATCCAGCAACACCCCAAGCCTGATTCAATTAAATATAATTCTACATTTGTTAGGTATTTATTACTGTGCTGTTCTAGGAAAAAATGGTTTTTGTTTCTCCTATTTAAAACTTCTGCCCTGAAAAGAGTAACTTGTATTGTAAATGCTCAGGAAGGTTGACTACAGCTTTCTGGAGCTGCCTCTTGTTAAACGGATGGGGGTCTCTGCCAGCCAGTGAGGAGGCCACGATCCAGGAGGGCTGCAGTTCTCATAGATGCCCATCATAGTCACAGGAGGGGATGCAAACATTCGAACAAGGATCACATATGAGACTAAGGTGGTCATTTAAGAAAGGCTTTACAAATAAATTTCACATTATCTGGTCCAATAGTCTCATAAAAAATCAGAGAACTCAGCCTGGTGCTGGATGCCTATAACCATAGCAACTGGGAAAGCTGAGGCAAAAGGACTAAAAGTTTGAGCTCAGCCTGGGCAATCCGGCAACTTAGCAAAATGCTGTCTTAAAATTCTAAAAAAACGCAAATGGGCTGGGGATATAGCTGAGTACATTGGCCTTGAGATCAATCCCTAGTAATAAAACAGAAAGAACAAGGACTCTTTTATCCCTTTTGAGAAGTGCCATGTCTCCTTCTGGGCCTGTTCTCGCCCACTCCTCCCTTCACCCTTGGGGTCCATGTTGTTCTCCAATATCTCTGTGCTACATGTTTTCCACATTCTCCACCGGTGTGGGTGTGATGGGACCTTTCCATGTTCTAAACATGCTTTCCACATTCTCCACCGGTGTGGGTTGATGGGGCCTTTCCATGTTCTAAACATGTACAATGTTTTCAACATTCTGGTTGGTGTCTCATAACCCCAGGAAGAGCATTTCCTGGCTCCGGCAGCACACAATGCTGGTCCTGCGAGGTCCCCGTAGTTTTGTTTGTGTCTTTCCTTTCCTTTGTGCCTCCTCCCAGGGGAGGGCTTCTGTGGGTGCAAGCAGAGGTAGTAGCCACAGGGCCACCGCTTTTAGTCATGATCTGTGAATTCCACCCACCTGTCCCACTCTTACCCACCTGTCACACCTCACCTAAGCGAGGCAAGAGTCTCTCTTCTCATTTGCAGGAAAAATTTTCTGCCTCTCCCCAGGCTGTCTCACAAGCTAAAAGTAACCCGAGGGTGAAATGATTCAATCAGAAGAATGATTCAATCAGGTGTGTGTGTGTGTATGTGTGTGTGTGTGTGTGTGTGTGTGACAGTGAATATGAGTCCTTCTGACAACTTTATCATTTCAACTGCACTGCCTCTCTGGGCCTCTGTTTACCTGTGTTCGGGTGCTGTATGAGCTTTTGAGGCCTTTCACAATCAATTTTGACAAATGGGGGAGGGGAAAAATAATAGAAATTATTTTTCCTCAGTTCTTGAAGCCAGAAGTCTGAGGTTAAGGTGTTGCTAACCACGCTCTCTGAAGCCTCAGAAGAAGCTTCTGTCCTTCCTCCAGCTTTCAGGAGCCCCATGTGTCCCGTGGAGGTGCCTCTCTGTCCCTGCGTGGTCTTCTCCTCATGTCCTCTCCTCTCCGCTTAGAAGGAAATCAGATGTATTTGATTTAGAGCCCACAATACTGCAGGTAGGTTGTACTACACTGTGTAAGCTACAGAGTTTACGAATTACGGCCATTATCCACTCAGTTTACACCTTTAAGGAGACTACATTTGGAATACCTGAGAGCACCTAGTCCTGGACAGTATTCAGTACGTTTGCTGCTTCTCCTTTGCTATTAGGTGTCAGGCAATTTAACTGCAGATGTACAGCGGTGGGAGTCCCAGATGGAGATAATTGTTCCTGTATGTGTTTGATTTAGCTGTGCTGCCTAGAGAGGTGTCAGAATGTATCTTTTATCTACTGATTCCATTTTCCACTGTACCTTAGAGTCCCCAGGGAAGAAGTGTGGGCTTTGCAACCACCAGCAACTTTCGAAGGACTTTGTGCTGTGCCTAAGTGGGGATTTGCATAGCTGTGACGATGGGGTGGCTGCTGTCACACTTGGGTACTGTCAAAGAACAGTCAGAGGGGACTCCGGGGCTGAGAAGGCAGCTCAGTAAGTACAGCAATAGAACGCCCGGGCTATTACAAGCAAAGGGCATCAAACACAAAGTGCGAGTCTTTTTAATAAGTCTCCGCCATGAAAATTGTATGAATAGGAAAGCAGTGAAGTCAAGACAAAAAATTACTTCCTCACAAATATTTATATAATTAAGCAAATTGATATTTGATATGAGTGGATCTCGACATATTTCTCCAGGCATCACTTCACCTAGTTAAGGGAAAGGTTAATACAAGTGTTTAAAATGATTTTTCTGCAGCAGATTTACCTCATTGTGTTTGTGACACAGCAAGAAAAATCAAGCGAGGCCTGTTTTCCAGATTTACAAGTTATCTTTTCTGTATTCAGATTCTATTTTTATAAATGAAAAATCTGAAATATAATGGGTAGCTTTCAATATTCTATCTGACACTCAGTGTATGAGTTTAGCAGTGCATTTATGGACACGCTCAAGTCAGGAAATGAAAGGCTCAGATTCTCACTTTGCTGCTCTTCCAGATGAGCTAAATTCTGAGCACATGTGTTTGTATTCGGTTCTGGTGGGTATTTTCCCTCCTATTATCTGGGCTGTTAGAGCACCTGTAAAAGGAGCTATTTCTGCTTCTGTGGAACAGAGCAACAAGGTCAAAGCTGCTCTGGAGTCTAATTAATTTACTCTCTGTGAATTTTTGCCTTGGGCAGAGTCCTCTTCCTAAAGAAGTGATTATACCAGTGGGAGATGATATTTGGCACCTCAGTTACTGGTGGCCCCTAAGCAGTTAGAGGTGAGAGAGACCTCAGTGACTGTATTCAGAGCGGGGAAGCCCAGGGTGGGGAAGTGGTCGCTCTCAGCTCACACAGCTCCCGAGGGCAACAGTTTAGCAGCCTGGGCTACTGACTGCAGGTCTTTAGCTGTCAACTTCAACCCGAGTTCAGGGAGCAGAGTTTGACAGAAAAGCAGTCCACTTGGCAGACATCTAATTCTTTTCATTGCTGCACGTACATTGGTGAGAAGCAATCTCCTGAGATGCCAGGGTTTTTATTTAAAGGCATTTTATACCCAGTGGCTACTCTGGATATAATCTGCCCTCGACGTTTTGAACTCAGAGTCTGCTGAGATCCTGAGTCAGGATCTGTAAGTTCTCCCAATTTCCTCTAAAACCCAGCAGCTTCTAGGGTGACATCTTGGAATATTATATGTTGAAATCGACAAAGAGTTGTGTTAGCAGACAACTCCACCGAGGTTGTGCTCACAAGAGTATCATTTACATCATTATCATTTCTTCTATTCAGAAAGAAATTTTAAAGGATAATCTAGAGTTAAGTGAGCAACTTTTTACACATCTATCATAAACACCAAATTCAGGGGTCATACTGAGTAATTGGCATTGGTAGTAAATTAAAATATTATTTTGATTAACAAGAATAAGAAAAATACAAGTAAAAATATTAAATAACCAGCTTGTGGAGCTTGTGTGTTGCACAGAGTATCACGTGCTTTACTCCTCACCCCCAAAGTGTAAGATAAGATGTTATTATTCATTCCCATTATAATATATGTTATTCTTATAGGGGAAAAAAGAAAAAAGAGCTTGCAAATGTTTTTAACTCAATTCTCTTTTCTTCCACTAGATGGCACTTTAACATCGCTTTTTGATAACATTCTAAATCACAGCATGTAGGCAGAACACGTTTAATTTATCAGCGGTCCAAACAAATTCTATGTATGTGTAATATCTGGGAACATTAAGTCAAATCAACTGCTTCAATTCAAATGCACTTGACTTTTCAAAAGTAATTGTTGTAAATATCTCGTCCCTAGATGGCAGCTTCACCTATAAACCAAACGCTTCCAAGTCCCAGCTCCTCCTCTCCACTTGCCTTTTCTAACCAGCCTGAGGTCCGGTTGAGGGTCCCCACAGAGTTGGTGTGCACTAGTAGCATGGCGGTGGGAGAGTGGCACGAACGCAGCCCTGGGGTCGCTTGCCCCCCCACCCCCGCAGGGCTGCTGTCCTCCGCTCCGTGGGGTCCCGTTCTTGCGCGTCGCCCTCATCACGCTT